TAGAGTATTATTTAACTATAATTACCATGCTGTACATTACAGCCTCATGACTTATTTATTTTATAACTGGAAGTTTGTACCTTTTGACCAACTTAACCCATTTTGTCCATCCCCAACCCCCTGCCTCTGGCAACCACCAATCTGTTCCCTGTATCTATGAGTACGGCGTTTTTATTTTTTCAGATTCCACATATAAGTGAGATCATACAGTATTTGTCTTTCTCTGACTTATTTCGCTCAGAATAATGCCCTCAGGGTCCATCCATGTTGTCACAGATGGCAAGATTTCATTCTTTTTTATGGCTGAATAATATTCAACTGTGTGTATGTATATGTATATGTACGTGTGTGTATGTATATATACACATACATATATGCCACATCTTTATTTTTTTAATTGAAATAGAGTTGATTTACAATGCTGTGCCAATCTGTGCTGTACAGCAAAGTGACTCAGTTATACATGTAGACATTCTTTTTTTAATATTCTTTTCCATTATGGTTTATCCCAGGAGATTGGAGATAGTTGCCTGTACTATACAGTAGGACCTTGTTGTTCATCCATTCTAAATGTAATGGTTTGCATCTACCAACCCCAAACTCTTGGTCCATCCCTCTCCCTCCCCTCCTCCCCCTTGGCAACCACAAGTCTGATCTCTATGTCTGTGAATCTGTTTCTGTTCTGTAGATAGGTTCATTTGTGCCATATTTTAGATTCCATATATTAGATTCCACATATAAGTGATATCATCTGGTATTTGTCTTTCTCTTTCTGACTTATTTAGTGTGATAATCTCTAGTTGCATCCATGTTGCTACAAATGGCATTATTTCTTTCGTTTTTACGGCTGAGTAGTATTCCATTGTATGTACATACCACATCTTCTTTATCCATTCATCTGTCGATGGACATTTAGGTTCTTTCCATGTTTTGGCTATTGTGAATAGTGCTGCTATGAACATAAGGTGCATGTATCTTTTTGAATTATAGTTTTGTCAGGGTATATGCCCAGGAGTGGGATTGCTGGACCATATAGTAATTCTATTTTCAGTTTTCTGGGGAACCTCCATACTGTTTTCCATAGTAGTTGCACCAATTTACATTCCCACCAACAGTACACAAGTGTTTTGTTTTCTCCACATCCTCACCAATACTTGTTAGTTCTTATCTGGTAGATAAGAGCCATTCTGACAGGTGTGAGGTGATATCTCATTGTGCTTTTGATTTGCATTTCCCTGATTAGTGATATTGTGCACCTTTTCATGCACCTGTCGGTCATATGAATGTCATTTTTGGAAAAATATCTATTCAGATCCTCTGCCCATTTTTAAATCAGATTGTTTGGGGTTTTTTTTGTTGTTGTTGTTTTGCTATTGAGTTATATGAGTTCTTTATATTTATCAGATACATGACTCGTAAATATTTTCTCCCATTCAGTAGGTTGCCTTTTCATTTTGTTGATGGTTTCCTTTGCTGTGCAGAAGTTTATTGGTTTGATATGGTCCCACTTGTTTATTTTTGCCTTTGTTGCCTTTGCTTTTGGTTTCAAATCCAAAAAATCACCTCCAAGACTGATGTCAAGAGCCTACTACCTACTTTTTCTTCTAGGAGGTCTATGGTTTCAGGTCTTATATTCAAGTCTTTAGTCCATTTTGAGTTCCTTTTTGTGCATGGTGTAAGACAGAGGTCCAGTTTTCCCAGTGCCATTCATTGACGAGACTGTCCTTTCCTCATTGTATATTCTTGGTTCTTTCGTCATAAATTAATCGACAGTAAATGTGTGGGTTTATTTCCAGGCTCTCTATTCTGCTCTGTCAATCTAGTCTCCGTTTTTATGCCAATACCATACTGTTTTGATTACTATAGCTTTGTAATATGTTTAAAATCAGGAGGTGTGATACCTCCAACTTTGTTCTTTCTCAAGATTGCATTGGCTATTCAGGGTCTTTCTGTGATTCCATACATATTTTAGGAATGTTCTGTTTCTATGAAAAATGCTATTGGAATTTTGATAGGGATTGCATTGGGAGGTTTTTGGCTACTGATTCAATCTTGTTACTGGTAATCTGTTGAGATTTTCTATTTCTTCATAATTCAGTCTTGATAGGTTGTATGTTTCTAGGAATTCATCCATTTCATCTAGGTTGTCCAGTTTGTTGGTATATAATTGTTCATAATAGTGTCTTATGTTCCTTTGTATTTTTGTGATATCAATTGTGACACCTCTTCTTTCATTTCTGTTTTTATTTATTTGAGTCCTTTTTTTTCTTGGTGGGTATAGATAAAGGTTGTCAATTTTGTTTATCTTTTTAAAAACCAGATCTTAATTTCATTGATCTTTTCTTTATTGTCTTTTTAGTCTCTATTTCATTTATTTCTGCTATGATCTTTGTTATTACCTTCTTTCTGCTAACTTTGGGCTTTATTTGTTCTTGTTTCTCTACTTCCTAGAAATGTAAAGTGAAGCTGTTTGAAATCTTTGTTTCTTGATTAGGCGTTTATCACTATGAACTTTCCTCTTAGAGTTGCTTTTGCTGTATTCCGTAAGCTTTGGTATGTTCTATTTTTATTTGTCTGAAGGTAATTATTATTTTTCTCTTGATTTCTTCTTTGACTCATTGGTTGTTCAGTAGCATGATGTTTAATCTGCACATATTTGTGGATTTTCCTGTTTTCTTGTAATTGATTTCAAGTTTCATACCATTGTGGTTGGAAAAGATGGCGGATATGATTTCAGTCTCCTTAAGTTTATTAAGACTTGTTTTGTGCCCTAACATATGATCTACCCTAGAGTATGTTCCATGTGCACTTGAAAGATATGTATATGATTTTGAATATTCCAGAATGAAAGTCATTTTAGTCTAAAATCAATGCATTACTTAACTATTTGTTGTCAGAAATTGCAAATAGATTTTTCTCTCTTGGACCTGAAAAGATAAGGATATATTCCTAAAAATGAGAAGCAAAGAAAATACCTAAAACTGCTAGGCTGAAATCACACCTCAGTCATTAGGCTATTGGCTGCCTGTTCATTTCCTACAAATTTTCAGGAAGTAAGCTTTTGCAGTCTTAATTGCCACCTAGCTTTCATATAAATAAGATTTTTTAAAATATTCTTTTTTGATACAGAAGACTTTCTAACAACATAAATGAGAAATATAATTTATTTAAGAGAAAGCCTAATGTTGGACCATCTAAGCAGTGATCTCAAGTGTAAGGATTAGGATGCCCTTCTGTTAATGTTCAGCCTGGTCATCTCCATACTGTGGCCCAGTAAGGTATTCCCTTCCCAGTGGTCCTTTGTTGAGAGCCCCCTCCCCCATTCACACAGGTACAGCCAAAGCCCCATGTTAGACTAACCTAATCCTGCCTTCCAGCTGTAGTTGATGTATGTCAACTATCTGTGCACTGTCATTTTCGCATTGGGGAACTGGTATTGATTGAGAAAATAAGTTAGTCTCTGTCCAGATGGCTGAAGCTCTAACATATAAAGCCTGGGAGTGGTCAGCAGCTGTGTTTCCTACCGTGTAGAGAAGGCCACGCTACCATGAAAGAAAAGAATAGTACTGACCTACAAGAAAAGGCCTGAGAAGAGAAAGAATGGGCCTTATTGTATATGAATCCTTAGCTCTGCTTATTCCCATGGCTTGCTGCCCTTCTGCAGTTATGAATGTCTCCTCAGTATTCTTACGTAAATCTTTCTTCTTAATAGTTTGAGTTTCAGTCCTTGACAACCAAGGGAGTAATACATTCAATCTTAGAGGACAAAATTCAGTTTTGATTGCCATCTTTTGAAAGGGCCGTAGAAAGGATCAATGGGAATAGCTGACGAAATAGTAAACAGGATCAAGGAGGAAGCTTCAAGGGCTTGGGTATTGTTAAATAAAGAAACAGTTGTACAGCGTTTTCCTAATGCTACAGAAAGACGGTCTTTAACCTCCTTTCACCAGAGAACGTGGGGTTAGGTCAGAACTAATACTTTTTCTGTTAGACAAAACTCCAGACTCCTGGGACTTCCCTGGTGGTGCAGTGGTTAAGAATCCGCCTGCCAACGCAGGGGACATGGGTTTGAGCCCTGGTCCGCGAAGATCCCACGTGCCATGGAGCAACTAAGCCCGTGCACCACAACTACTGAGCCTGTGCCCTAGAGCTCGCGAGCCACAACTACTGAAGCCCACGCGCCTAGAGCCCGTGCTCTGCAACAAGAGAAGCCACTGCAATGAGAAGCCCGCACACCACAACGAAGAGTAGCCCCTGCTCGCCGCAACTAGAGAAAGCCTGCACGCAGCAACGAAGACCCAACTCAGCCAAAAATATAGATAGATAGATTGATTGAAAAAACACTCCAGACTCCTGCTGTGCCATTGGTGTGACCACCCTTGGCTGTGTGTCTTCATTCAGGAGAGAATCCAGTTGTTCAGCCCAGTATTTTTGCTTGTTTCCCTTTGGTCAGGTGTCCACTCTTGGCTCAGTCACTTAGGTAGCAGGAGCAGGATCATGTGACCTGAACACATGCAGCTGGGACCTCCGAGGAGGTAGAGACACTGGAGGCCTGTGGGTCCACGAATGGCCACAAGGAGATGCCATGTTGAAGCGTCCTGGAAGTCAGTACGTGAAACTGTTTTCCCAAGATCCCCTTAAGTCTAATGATGTTGATAGTTGAGTTATGAGCCAGTCTAACACCTTTCTTTCCTGAACCTACCTCTCTCTTCAGTTGCCCAGCTGCTTTGGGGTCACTACTTTAACACCTGATCACATGGGACATTTTTTTTAAATTAAGTTTTATTGGCATATCGTTGCTTTACAGTGTTGTGTTAGTTTCTACTGTACAGCAAAATGAATCAGCAACACATATATCCCCTCGTTTTTGGATTTCCTTCCCATTTAGGTCACCACTGTGCATTAAGTAGAGCTCCCTGTGCTATACAGTATGTTCTCGTTAGTTGTCTATTTTATACATAGTATCAATAGTATGTATGTGTCAATCCCAATCTCCCAATTCTTCCCACCGCCACCCCCCACAGTGTGGGACATTTCAAATGGCTGGGCTTTCCAGGCTCAACTGGCTCATCCTTCCATGAACCCAAGAACACCTGGTTATCAGCAGACTGCAGAGACAGCAAAGCCCTGGGAGATGTAGAGTCCAATGGAGTAACATGTAAATATCTTAAGCGACGCAAAGACTTGCAGAGCTAATGAAGCAATGATGGAAGTTGCCACAATCTGAGGGGAGGATGCAGAAATCTATTCATAGAGAGAAATTACATAGCGATTTGACTTAAATCCAGCAAGATGGACCATGCAGATAACCTCTTTAACTCCTGGAATCCCTGTTTAGCAACCATAAAAGAGGGCCCTATTTGTCCCTCCTTGTTGGAACTCCTCTTGGCCAAAATAGCTGTCCACATGCAACCTCGGTCAGCTCGAAAAGCAATGCCAAATTGTTTGGGATAACAGAGTTATCTCCTTAGTGGATGTGATGTCTTAATCCCAGAATAAAATAGGATTAAGTATAGAAATAACAAAGTAAACAAAACCTGTGTTAAAAAGTTTGTGTTAGGTTCAGAAATAATTTGTTCATGTCTGGTATTTAAGAGTTTGTTGTGTTTTCGAGAATTTGGTCTATGAGAACAAGAGATCAGTATTGTGATTCCAATTTAAAATGTAGCTTAGAATTGATTTATATTTGCTGTTTTAAGTAGAGGGATATGAGAGTCAAGTTAGTAAATTTGTAACATTGAAACATTTAAGAGGATTTAATAGTCGACATTTCTATGTTTAATTGATTAGATTTACTAGAGTTATTTAGGGACTGAAAAGGTTTTATTAATCAGACCACTGAACTACTTAAAAAGAAAATCAATACATTAAATGTATAGATGCAGTTTAAGATGTTAAAGGAAGTTAATTAAGCTGCATGAGCCCTTTTAAAAATAAGTGTTAATTATTAACATTTGCTAGATCTATTAGTTGAGTAATAAGATTTGGGAATTGAACTCAAATTAGTAAGTTTAAGGAAAATTTGGGCTTGAAATGGGTAGCTGTATTTAATTGGATATTAATTTTTCAGAAGTAGTTTTTAGATAGTTTGCTGTGCACAAAAGCAGATCAGAAAACCTAAATTGATAATCAAGAATTTTCACTGAGTGACCAATGGGATGTTAGTTTAATCCCAGCCAGAACTAGTCCAAGTACAGCCAGGCTGTTCCCCAAGACAGTAGAAGGTCCAAGGACCCAACTACTGAACTGGGTGAGTGTGGGGCCAGGGAGACAGTTCTGTGGGCCACTCTTACTCATGGTGTTCTGGGAGAGGTCCTGTTTACTCCAGGCACTCCCAGATCGCATAGAAATGGGGATCTGGCCCATCCTCTCAACGGTCCTCTGAAACTTCAGCGTGGGCCCAGCCCAGAGCAGTGACCCCAGACCCATATTCGTCCTCCAGTCCTGATATCCCAGCGGGTTAGAGTGGCTGGTGCTTCTTTAGGCAAATGGGCCAGTGACTGCATGTCAGGTTGTTGCCGTATCTGAATATGCAAGCCTGAAACAAGCCATCCTTTATGACATCTGAAGATACTTGCATCCTACCTTGTCTTGAGTAAAAATGCTTATTTAATTGGCATATTCGTTGCACATCTATCAGGTTGTCCCATCTTCAGATCCTTCTGTTTCTGCATCTGTGTTTTGAACAGTAAGCACTTCAAAGACTGGATTTTTTTTAATTTAATATTTTTACTTGCTTTTCACCACCCAAGAAAGCCCACACATAATTCTGGTCGGGAAAGCTCCTAAGGACATAATGAGTACTACTGCTTTGCAGATAATAGCCACAGTGAGTTCTTGACATATTCCTGGCATGCTTCTTATTAACTCAAGAAATGGGAGGCACTGTCCTAAATTCTGTTTGCTGAGTAGAGGCATTGTTATTACAGGACTAATCTCAACAATCAACATTTTTCCCCAGTGAGGCGGATTCATGGAAAAGATTAGATCCATCTTTGCGCTTTAGAATCTACAATGACAGTGATGTCCGTGTATTCTGGGGAAGGCTAGATGGAGCTTTTGTTCAGCCCGGGTCTTTTTTCTGTGGGGCAGTTAGTTGATCTCTTCTGATGTAGGCAGCCTTGTGTTCCTGGCCCAAGCATTACAAATGTATTCAGTAGTTCTCTGTTTTAAGTGAGTTAACAGATAATACTGCAAGAGGAAGCTTAGGTAAGCCATAGCTTACCAATGTGCCAGTGGAAACTTATTCTTCGGAATTTCCATTATCCATATTTTCCAAACAGAGGTTGAGAGGACAAGTTCAGTATATTTTAGCCAAAATAATTGTATAAAACGAGGGGGAAAAGTGAATGCTAACCTAATTAACATAGTGGGGGGTTAGACAGAGAGAAAAGAATATTCCTGTGAGCTAACTCTGCTTCTCCCACCAGCTTTCTTAGTGAAAGTTACATAAGGCAGAGTTTTCTGGGTCTAGGTTTTCAGAATCACAGATTTTTCGAGCTGGAAGGTGGCAAGAGTTTACCTCACAGAAAGTAAGAAAGAGGGTTTTTAAATTTTGAAGAGTATACAGTTATGAAAATATATACTCTCAAGTCATTCAGAATATCACTTTCGGTAGGCATAAAGATAGTTACGTGCCCTGGGCACAAGAGAAAATCAGGAAGTTGGACTAAAACAGCAGTCCCAGTTCTGGCTGGACGTTAAAATCACCTGGAAAGTGTTTCAACTGATGCCTGGGACCCACCCCAGAGATTTTGTTTCATTTGCTCTAGAGTGGGGTTTTTTAAAAGCTTGCTAGGTGATTCTTATGTGCAGCCAGAGTTGCAAACTACTGGCCTGCCTAATACAATTAATTCCACTCTAACTTCTCTTGGCGTTATTTCATGACAGCCTCGGTCTCGAGGACTCTGCCAGTATCTGTTCTGGCACATATGTGTGTTCATTGCCCTAATGACAGTGTCAGGGGCTGAAGTTGAGAGTGGCCAGGAGGGGAACAGTAGTCTGGCAGTAATGTAACCTTGCCCAAGTCAACTGGAAGGTTTTGAAGATGTTCACGAGACATGACTCCTTGGTGTTGCCTCATTTTAAGTGTGGCTCCTTATCTGATATGGGCAGCTAGCTCAGCCTTGCAATAGCATTGCCTTTGAGTTTTGATAATTCTTTTTTATTTATTTATGCCAGACAGTAGTGATGGGTGCCCAATTATCCCTGAATTAGTAATCGGAGTCCAGGCAGTAAAACAGAGGTGTTAAGAACCCTACACTTGAAATTTTGAGAAGCTCCAACTGTGAGACCAGCCGTTTCCCTCTACAAGGCATGCCAGGTAACCCAGTTCAGCAGAACCGGAACTTCTTCCAGCCCCATCTCCATATAAGAGGGCTGGGGGCATTGTCAGGTCAATAAGTTATCTTTGGGAGGATACAGCCCCTGTGCTTCCTCTAAGATTGAGAGTCCCCAAACCACACTCCCTTCCTGCCTTCATGAACTAAGGGACTAGTGACTGTCTCTTGTCACTGACCGGCCGATAGCTTCCATACCAGACAGCGCAGATATAAAACATTTACGTCATTGCAGAAAGTTTTATTGAACAACACTGCTCTAAGAAATAAGACTCGGGGGTAAAAGTAGAACCTTCTTTTTTTTCCACTACAAGCTTTGTAGAACCACAGTTGACCCTTGAACAAGGCAGTGGTTAATCCACATATAACTTAGAGTCAGCCCTTGGTATCCATGGCTCCTTTGTATTCACGCCATATGGTACTGTAGTATTTAGTATGGGAAAATATCCACATATAAGTGGACGCATGCAGTCAAACCCGTGTTTTTCAAGGGTCAACTGTACTTTGTTTTTAAAACTGTCTACATATCAGTTTATAAAAATAAAAATTTTAAAAATGATGATGAGGGATTCCCACAGAAGTTTTGACTGCTGAGTTTATTTAAAGGCGTTATGTTTCCATAGTACAAAAGCAGTGGTTCTCAGCTGGGGGCATTTTTGTACCCCTCCCATGCCTGAGAACATTTGGCAATGTCTGGAGACATTTTTGGTTGTCTCAGTATATGGCAGTGGGGAGAAGGGTGCTACAGGCATCTGTTGGGCAGCATACAATGAATGTAGAGGGCTGCCTCCCACAGCAAGGAACTCTCTGGCCCAAAACGTCAGTTGTGCTGAATTGAGAAACCTTGAGCTAAACTAAATCTCTAAGATTCCTACCAGGTTCCCAAATATATATGCGTGTGTGTGCATGTTGACTTAAATGAATAATCCTCTGACCTACAATATAGTACTTAGTTAAAGGTCAGTCCCACAGGCTAGCATTATACCTTCAGTGCACTAGAAAACTAAAAGGAAGAATTGAAACAATTATCTGGATAATTCAAAACCAAAAATACACTTTCTCTTGATTAATGCTCAAATAAAGTAAAAATGGGATTTTTAGGAATTTCAGGTGCAGTGTGTTGCTTTGATAACATTTATATATTACAATACAATTACTTCAGTGGTGTTAGCTAAAAGCTTTATCATGTCGATTATTTTTTGTGTGTATGGAGAATGATTAAGATTTACACTCTTCGCAACTGTGAAGTTTATAATACAGTATTGTTGACCATAATCACTTTGCTGTGCGTTAGAGCTTCAGAACTTACTCATCTACTTGTTACAGGTTTGTACCCTTAAATGACAACCCTCCAATTCCCCCACCGCCAGCCCCTCGTAACCACCATTCTACTCTCTGTTTTTACGGGTTGGGTGTTTTTAGATTCCACATATAAGTGATGTTTGTCTTTATCTGACTTACCTCACTCAGCATAAGGCCCTCAAGGTCCATCCCTGTTGTCACAATGGCAAGATTTCCTTTCTTCTCATGGCTGAATAATATTCCATGGGCATATATATTTTTTCTTTATCTGCTGATGGACACTTAGGTTGTTTCCATGTCTTGGCTATTATACATAATGCCACCATGAACATGAGGGTGCAGCTATTTCTGTGACATAGTGATTTCATTTCTTTTGGACATACTCCCAGAAGTGGAATTGCTAGATCATATGGTAGTTCTATTTTCAATATCTTGAGGAAACTTCATATTGTTTTTCATAGTGACTGCATCCATTTATATTCCCACCAACAGTGCACAAGTGTTCCCTATTCTCTGCCTCCTTGTCAGCATTCGTTATCTCATCTGTTTGACATAGCCTTTGTAACAAACAAGAGGTGATATCTCATTGTGGTTTTGATTTGCATTTCCCAATGATAGTGATGTTAAACACCTTTTCCTGTACCTCTTGGCCATTCGTATATTTTCTTTGAAAAAATGCTTATTCAGGTCCTTTGCCCATTTTGTTTGGGTTGTTTTTTGTTTGTTTTTGCTATTAGGTTGTGTGAGTTCTTTATATATTTTTTGATATTAACCCCATATCAGATATGTGATTTGCAGATATCTTCTCCCATTCCATAGGTTGTCTCTTCATTTTGTTGATCATTTCCTTTGCTGTGTAGAAGCTTTTTATTTGATCTAGTCTCACTTGTTTATTTTTTATATTGTTGTTTGTGCTTTAGATGTCATATTCAAAAAATTACTACCAAGACCCATGTCAAGGAGCTTTTTTACTATGTTTCTTCTAGGAGTTTTATAGTTTCAGGTTTAAGTCTTTAATCCACTTCAAGCTAATATTTGTGAGTGGTGTAAAATAGGGGCCTAGTTTCATTCTTTTCCAAGTGAATATCCAATTTTCCCAGCACCATTTATTGAAGAGACTGTCTTTTCTCCATTGAGTATTCTTGGCTTCTTTGTCAAATACTAGTTGACCATATATGCATGGACTTATTTCTGGGATCTCCATTTTGTTCCATTGGTCTATGTATGTCTATTTTTATGCCATATCATAAAAGCACACAGTTTTGATTACTATACCTTTGAAATATAGCTCACATCAGGTATTGTGATGCCTCCAGCTTTGTTCTTCTTTCTCAGGATTACATTTGCTATTTGGGGGTCTTTTATGATTCCAAACCCATTTTAGGGTAATTTTTTCCATTTCTGTAAAAAATGTCATTGGAATTTTGATTGTGATTGCACTAAGTCTGTGGATCACTTTGGGTAGTATGGGCATGTTTACAATATTAATTCTCCCAATCTAGGAACACAGGATATTTTTCCATTTATTTGTGTTTTCTTCAGTGTCTTATAGTGTTCAGTGTACAGATCTTTCACCTCCTTGGCTAAATTTATTCCTAAGTATTTTGTTGTTTACAGTGCCATTGTAAATGGAATTGCTTTCTTTTTCTTTATTTTTTTTTTGGAAAGAAACACTTGTATTTCTCAGATAAACAGTTTACATGGATAATATTTTTGCACAGTTCATTATTCCTACTGACACATGTATTAATCAGCTTGCCACATGTTGGCACAGCTGTGGTGGATTTGTCCAAATCTCTACAGATTTTTCTTTCTCTGCTCAGAGATATTTTTCTTTTTTTTTTTCCACACTGTACTTTATTCTTACAAGAGATAAATAAACTGACACCAAGCATTGTAAATGGATGACCACAACAAAAGCAACAATGATTGCAATTACCAAACACAAAACACACTCATACTATGTCATAATATTGACATTCAGTCCAGGAATCCTCCACTGTAACAGCTCCTTTACTTTGCAGTGAAAACTG